GCTGGATTCTTTCCTATACAACTAATTTGAAAAATAAGGTGTGCTTGGAAAATTATTCAGCCGATAGGCCACGTTTCTGAGGCTGCTAAAATTGATGGTCATGTTGGAAGCTAACTAGTAACTGGTCCCTGTTTTCACTTATAAATATGTATGCATTTTACAAATCAGATAATACACATAGCTCTGAATGTTTGCTGGACTTTTGCCGTTCTTAGTAGGGAAATAAAAATAGTGTCCTGGTTCATAGGTGACTGGTAGGGGGTGCATGTGCCCCCACTGACGGGGTCGGTGCCCTCCCCCCCTGACAGCTGACACTGATGCTGTCGGTAGGGCTGGTGCCCCCTCTGACAGAGCCTCCACCAGCAGTGACTTCTTTGGGTGCGCCCCTCCAGATTCAGGAGGCACCAGTCACTCGTCCTGGTTGATTTCATCAGCAATAAAAACCTTCAGTCACTCAGTTCTACCCTACAGTCATGGGGAGACTATCTGTGGGGCACATTTTAGGACTCTTTGGGGTTCATATGGCCCTCAGGCCATGTTTTGGTTATCTTACTGTATAGTTTTGCTGCTCTACTGGGTCAGGTGTATTTTTAACTAATTTTTAGGTTGAACAGTATTGAACATTGAGTGCAACAAAGGCTTAGTGATTGCTGTTAGCTTTTTACTTTTTTATTTTATAGAACTTTGTGATGACAATAAAGAATCAAAATCACTGCAAACCTAAGTGATTGTTAGCATGAGCAGTAGTTGGAAATAACAGCATTCTGCATGAAAACAATTAGCTAAAGCTAGAGAGGCTTCTCTCACAAGACTATTACACAGTTTACCCTCATAGTTATCTAGTAAAATGAAAACTCCTCTTCTTTTTGGGAGAACTGCTAGATGTTGTCCTGTACAAATAGGATTACAAAGAGAAAACAGAAATCTGTCCCTGCTTTCTATCTGACATCTCCAACCTACATAGGATATAGATACCTATATAAAGTAGTCTTACACATTTCTTACTACTGCAAGTACTTGTTGAGGTAAGAGGTTCATATTATGGTGTTGTATGCAGGACAATAATTTGGATGGATAGATTATAGTTATGACTTCCCAGATGAAGGCCTTAAAATGATGTATGAAAAATTAATACTCAGGGAACTTCTTTGCAGAAGATTTATTACACAGAAGAAGTAATGGCTTGTGTGTTTACCAAGTACATTTCCCAAATACAGTTTTGCCAAACACGTCACCAAATAACCAGTATGTTATTGATAACAGTCTTTGCACTAGTTAAGCCATGTAGGTTATATTCCTTTTAATTTTCAAAACATTTTGAACAAAACAAGTAGAGAAAACTTTGCTCTTAAGGAATAAGAAGCTACTGGCTCAGGAATGATACCACATATTGTTATGTTAGGGAATAATAATTTTGCAACAAGTAATCAAAGATATAAGTATTGTTAAACACTCTTTAGAGTTGGATTCAATAAACTCGTAAACTCTGATTTGCCTATGAAATCTTATGGGTTTTCCTTGAGTTTGTTTTTTGTTGCTGCTTTGTGATGGTTGCTTCATTTTGTTGTGTGTCTATGAAAGCACCTGTTTTCTTTAATAAAGTAAATGTTTTACGTGCAGCCAACCCAGTGTAAGTCTCACTGGGTGAATCAAGGATTATATAATAGGGTTCTCAGCCTTTTGATATTCTGGATAAAATGAATTTCCAATTTCACCAGCATGGGCAAATTGGCAGGTGAAGTATAAAACTGTAGGTCTCTAAGTATCCGAGCCTTATATAGTATCAAGTAGCATATCCTCCAGGATTCTTGGGTACCAAAATAATACCAGGTCTAGGAGACCCAGTAGACATGTTGTTTGGATGACTCTTAACAATGGATAAAGTAATCTGTCTCCAGTAGAATTCTTGTATGGAAAACAAAGTTTTTTTTTCTTCTGTTTTCTATTCCTTTGGCTGCCCCACTGACCTTATATTTCAGATATATTGGACCACATTCCTGGCTTGGCTATGATAGTATATTCTCATTGGGCACAATATAGGGGATATTTCTTTTTTTTTCCATCAGAACAGGATGTACGTCTTCAAGGGTGGAAGTAAGTATCTACCAGAGTTTCTGTATTGTTCCTGCAATATATTGCATCCTGTGTTCACTTTTTGTCCGAGCATACGATAGAGACTCTAGTCCTTTCTGTAAGAGATTCCTGGATTAAAGACCTTCTTCAGCAACTTAATACACATGTTCTGGGACTAGGGCATTATTCTGAAGGAAGTCTGTAAGAATGGATTAACCCAAACTTGTATCATTCTAGGAACTCTTTGTATTTTAGTATCTTTTCCTTTTGGAATGTTAAAAGATGACCTTAATCCCCAAAGGGGAATTCAGGAGAGACTGACAGCTAGAAATGCAGGTTAAAAATAGCAGAGTTGACCTGAAATACAAACAGTAGTTTATGTGCTAAATCAAGGTTTCTTTCTTGAACATTCATTCCCTCATGACTTAGTTAATTAAATTAGATAAAATATGTTGTTTGAATTGATATCCCAAAGTAACTTCTCACACAGAAAATAGTGTAAACTAGCAGTTTATCCATCCCTATTTATCTAACCTCTTGCTAACTTGAAACTCCTGGTTAACTGAAAGTCGGTCGTGTCCCCTGACAGCAATGCGTACCACGCATTACTCCCCTGCTTATCTAAAGAGACATCTGAAACGTTCAGAATAATGGAGTTTTGGATAAGTGGGTGAGCATTGCGTGAAGCACATTGCTGTCTGGGGACATGACCAACTTTCACTTAACCTCACGTGTCAGTTAACAGGAAGTCAGAAATACACTATGCAGGAGATGAAATGGGCATTGTGTGCTTAGTAGATGTGTGCTGTTAGGTAAAGCATTTCAAAGTGCATTTTCAGGATGTCTGCAGAATACACCTGCTTTTCACAGTTAACCAGACCCTTTATATTTTCTCTGCTGTGACATTTTTCCTAGTTGTCCTAATGATGTAAGTAAGTCGTGATGGTCCTTGAAACTAAACATCACAAGGTGCACTGCAGAATTACAGTGCTTTTGGTTTATTCATTAAATTCAATTTAATTTTAATTGTGATGTTAAATTCACAGCTGGTTGGGCTGGCTAGGTGGACCAGCAATAATACTACATGAAACCCGTCAAGCCATGCAAATTCAATATACTGTGTGTTTTTAATCCATTGTGCTTGTAGAGTTGCAAGCTTTTCAACTCAAAGAAAATAGTGGGAAAGGGCAAAGACTGTTGAAATAGTCTTTGTTGTGAACAGCAACACTTAATTTCTATAACAGCAGTATCTGTTAAGTGATTGAGTGGCATTCACAAGGTTCTTTGTTATAGCTTTCTGTTGGGAGGATGGCAGCTGTAATATAAATCTGTTTCTGGGAGACAGGGGGATGCTTCTGAAAGGCTGAGTAGTTCCTGTCGGGCAAAAGTGATCTTCACTGGGTAAAGGCAAAATCTAAGATCATCCCCTGAAAACTCTCTCATCACATAAGTACAGAATAAATGTACTGAAGCAGTATCTGCTTGGAAAAGGGTATGGAAGAATGGAGTGCACCCAGCTGGTAGCGTAGAAGTAATCCTGTGCACTTTTGGAGAACATCCACACCTTGTTTTAAAAATTTGTAATGTGAAAAATCTCATCTGTCTCTTAACGCTCAGATTTCCATCACTGTGGTTAAGCAGCCATACAGAATGCAAAAAGACAAGAAAGATTTTCTGTTGAAGCTAATACTAAAATACTTTCATTAATTGTTCAGAAAAAGTGGAAAGAGCTAAAATGGCACAACAGGAACACTTCCCTTTCTCTTCCTTGCCCCTCTCTGGAGATCATGAACCCAATCCTACAGCAAACTTGGGGATTCTGCCTGAGGAAGGGCTCTAGCACCAGGACTGATTTTGCTCTAGCCCACTTGAGTGTATCATTCAGTTGGTAATGTTATGCATTCAGTCATAAAGTTAACCTAATAACAGTCAAAATTCAGTTAACAGAAGGGAAGGGAAATGTCTGACCACCATGTTTTATTCTGTGGGAGATAGGGTAGGAAATACCGTATTTACTAAAATACAAGACCAGGTTTTTTCCCCCAATCCACCTGGGGGAAAAAAGCTCCTCATTTTATATTCACATATAAGGAAGCCTCATCAAGTACATTGTCTATAATTTAACCACTGCCAAAAGCAGCATGGGCACTGCAATTGAAACCAACTGTGAAATTGATTAGATGCAGCCAAAACTGAGCATGACTATAAAATACATGCCCCATATTGGGCAAACATACTGATGGGAACCTAACACAAGGCTAGGTTAGTGCAGCCCATCTGAATAAAATATATGGTAGTGTCCATTGTGCTCAGTCCCGCTTAGCACCGACTTTTTCAAGTCATAGTGAGCTACTACATTCAGTACATTTCAACTTGATCTTCACTCCCACACCTAGCTGTGCCTTTTTTTTCCAATTTCCAATTATTTCTGTTTCTTCACCAGTCTTAAATATCTAAAATTCAAGGCAAACCTCCAATAATTAAATTTTGTACCTGGAAAATTGTAACAAATTTTGAAATTTTCCATCTATAGAAACTAATTATGGGGGGTCATTTTATATTTGAGTAAATACAGTAGTCAGTTGTTTTGAGGTCATGCCCTGAAACTTATATCACTTTTTAAAAGATCCTTACAGTAGGCAACGTGGTATTGCTTCAATGAGATTCAGCAGTGTCTTGACTACTTGACATTTTAGCCTTGAATTGTGAATAACAGCCCTAAAATGGCTATTGTAATAATAACTTACCCATCCTATGTTGTCTGAAGCCTATAGATTAGTGGATGTCATGTGTAGAATGGTGTTTCCATGGAACCCACCAGTGAACTCTTGTCCAGTCAGTCAGGGACTGTATATCCTTGTTCGTGACATACTGTATTATACATTAGGTGCAGTCATTGCTCTTTTTATTTATTTATTTTATTCTAGGACTAAAGAGCCCCTTCAAGACAGCATAATAGCTACTTACGAAGAACATGAAGACAGTGTATATGCGGTGGAATGGTCCTCAGCAGACCCATGGCTGTTTGCCTCTTTAAGTTATGATGGGAGACTTGTTATTAACAGAGTACCCAGAGCACTTAAATATCATATATTGTTATAATTTGTGTGGATTATCATTAATTATTAATTTGGCATTCCTTTCAAAAGGTTTGACGGTTGTTGATTGTTCAGTTTTAGGAGTTTAGTACTCTTTGTTTGAAAGTGAACATTTAAATATATTTTTTTTTTTAATGTTTGGAACAGCGGTGATATATTTTCCTCAAGTTGTGGTACTGTTTTTTTTTTTTGTTTTTTTTTTAAATATAGTAAGTTTAATAAGGAAATTGTTAACAGTTGATTGTTATTAAAATATACTGTTTTTGATGCATGGAGCTTTCT